GCCTTCCAAGTAGCTGGAACTACAGGCGCGTGCTACCACACCCGGCTAATTTTTTTTTTAATTATTGTAGAGATGAGGTCTCGCCAAGTTGCCCAGGCAGGTCTCGAACGCGCAGACTCAGGCAATCCACTCACCTCAGCCTCCCAAAGCACGGGATCACAGGCTGAGCCACCGAGCCCCGCTTGTAAGTGTCTGTATTTTAATGGGAATCAAAGACACACCTAGACATGAAGCCTAAGGTGGGGACTTCAGCCCGCTGGACAAGGAAGGCATCTGAGAAGGTGGCCTCCCGGGAACCCACAATAACACCCACTGGGAGATCATTTTCCTATCCACAGGTGTCCTTCACCCCAGGTCTCTAGACAGGTGTTGGGGGCTAGAGATGGCTATGTGTGCAGGGTGGGAGGGCCTGCTCTAGGGACAGCTTTGGGATGGGGGAGCTCCAACCCACACCGACAACCTGAGCAGTTCCATGGCACAAGCAACCCTCCAATTCCCTCATTTTTGCTGGAGCTTCTGCCCCTTCCCGTATGGACTTTCTTCTTCCTCACTTTGTTCACAAAGGGGAAACTCTGAGACCAGGTGCCAAACCCTGGCTTCCAAAGTCCAATTTGGAATTTGCATTAAAGTTCTGAGAGTTGCCAGGTGTGGTGGCTCACACCTGTAATCCCAGCACTTTGGGAGGCAGAGGCGAGAGGATTTCCTGAGCCTAGGGGTTTGAGACTAGCCTGGGCAACTTAGCAAGACTTCTTCGCTACAGTTAAAAAAAAATTAGCTGGGTGTGGTGGCACACACCTGTGGTTCCAGTTATTGGAAGGCTGAGATGGAAGGATCACCTGGGCCCAGCAGGTCGAGGCTGCAGTAACTGTGAGTAAGCCACTGCATTCCTGCCTGGGTGACAGAGTGAGACTACTAGCTCAAAAAAAAAAAAGAAGAAGAAGAAGAAGAAAGTTTAAAGTTCTGAGAGTCACCTCAACCTTGTCCACAGGTACTTACTCCACCAACTATGGCTGGGTATGGTGGCTCACATGAATAATCCCAGCACTTTGGGAGGCTGAGGCACCAGGGTTGCTTGAAGCCAGGAGTTTGAGACCAGCCTGGGCAACATAGCAAGACTCCGTTTCCATTTTTTAATTACTTAATTATTTAATTAATTATTTTTCCCTTTGAGTTGGAGTCTCTTTTGTCCAGGCTGGAGTACAGTGGCACACTCACAGCCACCGCAGCCTTGACCTGCTGGGCTCAGGTGATCCTTTGGCCTCATTCTTCCAAGTAGCTAGAACTACAGGTACATGCTACCACACCTAATTTTTTGATTTATTGTAGAGATGAGGTCTCACCAAGCTGCCCAGGCTGGTCTCGAACCCTGGGCTTAAGCAATCCTCTCGCCTTGGTCTGCCAAAGTACTGGGATTACAGGCTTGAGCCACTGAACCCAGCTTTTTTATGATTTAAAAATTAAAATTAAGGAAAAAAGACCAGATTCCAAAGTGTGTCACCAAACCAGAGACCTCCTGTGTTCAAGTGTATGTACTCGACAGTGTGTGTTAGCCCAGTCTCACCTACTTCCTAGCCAACAAGCCAAGACAATGACCACAGTTCATTATAGAACATCTGGGCAGAATTTGCCTTTGGTCAATGATGTTAATAATGGTATAAGATGCACACCCCCCCCCCCACCTCCTTGGGCAAGCCACATACCTCTGAGTACCATTTGCTCACACATAAGATGCAGTTGCTTAATTGAACTCTTGGGAGGAGCGTGAAACGGAATGACGGAAAAATGCTTTGGAGCCGGGCTTGGTGGCTCAGCCTGTAATCCCCCACCTTGGGAGGCTGAGGTGTGTGAATTGCCTGAGCCCGCGGGTTCGAGGCCCACCTGGGCAACTTGGTGAGACCTCATCTCTACAACAAATCAAAAAATTGGCTGGGCGTGGTAACGCGCACCTGTAGTTCCAGCTACTCGGAAGGCTGAGGCGGAAGGATCACCGGAGCCCAGCAAGTCAAGGCTGCGGTGGCCGGGAAAGGGGAATGCACTC